TCCTGTAGTTGCGGTCACACTATTGAGGACAGCGAACATTTTTTATTATACTGCTCTAATTTTACTAGAATAAGACAAGAAACTATACTATTACTACCAAGTACTCACCGGGAGATTAGAACGCTATTATACGGAAACGACCTTCTCGCTTCTTCGACAAACATGGAAATATTCACCACAGTTCAGTTAATCATAAACCAATCCAATAGATTTAAGTAAACAATAACCATGTTCCACATATTCCATTCTTACTGGGTATATACTTGATTCTACTCGCCTTCGAGATATATGATACATATCGTTTCATGCTGGGTATACTTACCGCCTTTTTGCCTTCCACTCACTGTTCGGTGATATTTTTAATACCCACCGCATACTTACTTGTTATTATCTTATTACTTACCACTTTTTTTTATATACACTTTTTATCGTCCTTTTACTTACCACCAATTGTTTGTTGATACTTACCGTATAAACTTGCGGGTTGGTTTACTTACCGATTCTTGTTTGTCTAAACATATTGTGTACTCGCCGTTTCTTGATTACCTATTCTTATCAATAAACTTATCTAAATTGATCATACTAAACGGCGATTCATATCGTTTTCGTGGGCATATATACTTCTTACCGTCCTTTTACTTGCCACCTACTATTTGGTGATACTCACCGTATACACTTGCGGGTTGGTTTATTTACCGATCATACTAAACGTGTACTAGTGGGTTTTACTTGACGTGTTTTGATGGGCTTACCTTTGATGCAGCATAGATATTTAAACTTATCTTAACACTAATCATATGACAATTAGTGTCTCTCGATAGGTTGGAAATACTTGTCCATGTTCAAATCGTGTACTTAATATTAAATATTAACGATTAATATATGGCATTTTTTTTTTTTTATAACCATGAAACACCATCGCACGCCAGACGCCTCCCATCCCAATAATATTTTCTTTCTCCTAAAACCACAACCTGAGTTTCGCTTACCCTTTACGTGCTAAGAACATCGGATAATCATTTCGCTAACCACACAACATTTCTACTACATTACGTACTTTAACTGATTATATTGTATCCAACATAACGTTTTAAATTAATCAAATGAGAGTAAACCCATTTACCTTGTAATTCTATACCAATTTGTTATTTATGATTATAATCTTGTACAATGTATTTATATTTTATTGTAAATAATGTCCTCGGGAGATGAATTTATATAAGCCCCGGCTTGTTTTCAGATCCCACAAACATTAGGCCGCATTCCATGGGCACAAATTGTCGTTGCAAAAATATTTTCGTTCCTACAAATCCGGTCTAGAAGAAATTTTGTCAGTGTATAGTTCATATAGAGATATTCGTTTGTTGTAATGTTCCCCAAAAAATTCCATAGTTCTTCGGTGATATTCTTCGTTGAAATCCGGACTATTTATTGATAGTAAAATTCATAGTGCGCGAGGTCACTGGACAGAATTCAGCTTTGTTCGCCGCGTCACGTGATCGTTTTTTTCCACAATCGACCAATCACGTTATTGTCTACATTCGCGTGTGTTGTTGGTAAACACAAAATGGCGTGCTTCACGAGGAACACATTGCAGTTATACATGTAGAAGCTACACTAAATGGCGACAAAGGCTCAATTAACTTGTATTGTTCACTTAGACAGTGTTAATAAGGGAAGTGCAGAACCCTTTACAAACACAAGGTGAGATAAATGTCGTGAGGTAGCTATAGACTGGTTTCAATTGGATGGAAATGACCAATCCATTGCAGCATTTTTCGATACAAATGGATATTTTATTACGAAGGATATTATATTGAAGATACAGTCGGCAGTGGTTTTGGATTTCATCCAACGTTTTATAGATGTTTTAAGAACAAAACAGTTAAATGATGCGAGAAAGAAAGAGAGTGACTCAGTGATAAGGCAGCGTCTACATTCAGTCCAGCCGAAACTAAACTGTCACGACATACATACAGACTATTAGTATTAGTATTACTGTGATGTGGTCATAATATATTTTACCAAACATTATTTAACAACTTACTATTAGTATATTAATCATTCGACAAAAAAAGCAATTCACTCATAACATAATATTTTATACACGGTTTCACCAAACCTTCAACAAGATATGACCACTTCTATTCCAACTAGTAGAAGTAATAAATAAATGTAATAAATAAAGGTGCATCATATATAGGCTGCAGACCATAAGTCCAGAAAAATTTGTGAATGAAAGAATTGAATATAACCATCCAAGTCAACCCAGAACATTGCATGCTGTGATTCAAAGGAAAGAGGGGATTAATCAAAGTTTTTGATAATCCCTAATTAAGTCCTTCACACCCCACTGATAAAGTAACATGAGCTGAACATTAATGTCCAGTCGACACGGTTCCTTTTTATTTAAATAATTTGCTTGCATGTAAGGGTCTGTAGCAGAGGAAGGAAACTGGGGGACTCGGAGAAAACTCACAAGGTTGAACAAGTGACCCTAGTCCTTGTCACGTACAAGCAGAGAATTGAAATTAAGTCATTGACGCAATGACAGACCTTATGATTTCATGTGTACATGTTAAACCATTCGCCACCCACCCTCCATATTAAATAGATGTCTTTGTAAATTATGTATGTTATAGTTATACAGTGTATTAAGTATTAAATGTCTACAGTGTTTTTATATTTATATATTAAAGAAATGTATATGAAAATATTATCTATTAAGAAATATTGATATTTATATTATGCAATATTTATATTAATAAATATCATTTGATACATAATATATCAAAATTCAAATGTTCTTTTTGGCCATTATGACCCTAATGTTTTGACCGTTATGTAGTTTTGACCAAAATGTTTGACCGTTATGACCAAATACTTGAGCCATTTTGGTTTAGGGCCTTTATGTCCATAACCCCTACTACTAGGCCTAGTACTTCAACAAATTTAAAAACTAAAAGTGTGTCTCATTCACCCCTACTCCTTCATTAATATCACCAAAGGAATCACATCATAGTGCAGTACTTGTTACTACTTCATCAGAGTTAAAAAAGTCAGTTTTATCAGAGAGCTGTATAATTTGCAAGAAAAAATCCAAGTATGTTCGAGCGGGGGCCATACAAAAGAGGGACAATTTAGTCCAGTGCGAAATAAAAACAGCATTTTTATTATTTTATTTAAAGCACCAATAACACTTTTGCTGTTTTGATAAGTCCAGTGAAACAAATACCGGTAGCCTTATTCTAACTACTAAATGAGTTAGTGTCTTACTCTTAGTGTAAATCCTCCATTAAATTGTATTTTATTTATCTTAGGTGATCAAAAATATTTTTCAAATCAAAGGTAATTAGTTTTGGATTTGATCGACTACATGTACAATATCTGTTATAATTGTTTTAAAAAATCAGAATATTTATTAATCAGAAGCAAGATTCCAACATTGAAAGTGTGTTTGGCACTTTTATCGATGATTACATGTAAACTATGTCGTAGGTGAGCCCGATATTGATGGGGGGGGGGGGCATCTGGTTCATTTGCAATTGCAGACAAAACGCATTTTGAATTCATATATCTATTGTAAGCTTATACATTGTAAATGCAAAATTTTATTTTGTCCATATGGGCTTTTCCCTGACAATTCTGAGCTAGTTCAAATTATTTAAGCATTTCTTCTTAATATTTCTGCAACTTTTTAAGTTTTCAACCTTTATTTCAAAATATGTTTTTTCATTCTTAATCTTAGCTATACACTAGCCTATCCATGATCATTATCAAGACAGCAGGCTAGACAGGTTTTAAGTATTTTGTTATGTAAAATGAATGATTTTATTAGAATTACACTTATAGAAGCAGTGACCTTGTTGCATTCTCTGTAATCTCCCTTGATATTAAGGCATTTTTCTAGTGAAATAGACCGGTCCAATATCCTTAATCAGTGTCGAAAAAACCTGACTGACTGCCACATTTTATGTCAGTGTGATCAAAATACCTTTTGTGGCTCTCATACACCACTTCTCTACACGGTTGGGACGTTTTTGGGGTTCATTTGATCTCTGTTCGTCCCAACCGCGAGCGATTTGCAAGGTAAATCGTTCGCATGGCTTTGTTTACAAATGCTATGACCTGGCACTTGACCCCAGAATTTTTGACCGCAACCCCGCAAGCGAGACCGCTGATTGGCCAAATTTTAAATAGATGCGCAGGATCCAGCTCACATCTACGCAAATATGGCTCCGCACTATAAAGAAATAAGTCATCGATTTATAGCCTATTTCGAGCTTGAACTATTAAATTGGCAGATTTTATTGGAGAATTTTGTTGACATATTGATTGCACGATTATTGATAGTCCGATTTGTAGACCGGTTTAGCGGGAGCGAAGGTGACAAGATTTTCACCCCGAGAATACGGCCTACATATAGTGTACTTTTATAGTATGTAAATATTTATTGAATAAATAGTGTCAGAAAAAAAAGTGAATTGCCTTACGGTACTGTGATGCCCTTAGATTACGTGTTCATTTATTATTGGGTTTGCCTTTTAAACCATGGAAAAGTTTGGATAAAAGATTCTGCCGAATCGACGAATATATGACGTATATGATTAAAATGTCCATGATAAAACAACCTTTTTTGATCTTACAAAGTAACGAATTGGGGCGAATGTGATTTGGGAGCCACCATGGTGGCTATTAGTGAAGACGCTGGCACGCTAGCCTGTAGGTCGCGTGTTCGATCCCTTCATTGATTGAAAAAGTTCACCGGGCATGTCCGACGTGGTTACCTCTTGTCAGTGGTACAGGAAGGAGGGCCTGACAAGGACAGCTGTCTAGTCGTCCGAATGGTACGAAAAACCGAGGCAGTTGGAATTCGAAATAAGAGTAGGCCGTAGCGCCGCCGTCCGGGCAAAATTTCCATCATAGCACGTAAGCCCGTCTTCATTAACCCAATCGGATCAGAACAGTAGGACGTTAAACCCCATTTCATTTCATTTCAGCAATAGCTCTTAAACCACCAATCCTAGAGGAATATTATCAATCATGGTAGGACTATATTATTTATCTTAATATTAATATGTATAATATGTGACATCTGTTTGACTTTGACAGTTGTAGTCTAAAAAAAATAGATGAACGTCAAGTATTTGACATCTAAACTGTAGCACTCTGATTTGAAATCTACAACATTCTTTTACTGTCTGTTGACTTTGTACTGTCTTTTGTTTGTTGCGATGTTGTCTATCAATAATGTCAATTTGTTTATCTTATTGCCATATTTTGAGAATGGCTAAAGGTATTGATTGACGTCTACACGAAATATAATAATTTAATGTCATCGAAAGCTGCTATGTAAAGACACTACTTTTGTTAGTTTGAAATCTCACGTCTAGATATTGTAATATAATTATTGCAAGTATGTAATTGTCCAATTTATTTATTTTTTTTATTTTTTTTTGAAAGGCTCAGTGAGTAATGCATAAGCTCGCTGGCCAGCAGATCCCGGCTTCGCTCACGGTGTTGGCCGAGAGAGCTCCCCGGAATTTTCCATTTTCCGGCATGCTTTCCTCTGGTCTGTAATGCTGGACGTAGGGCCTGGTAGGAGAAAAAAAGAGGCGGCGTGCACGTAAAAGAACCATTGACGGAACAGTAGGACGTTTAACTCCATTTTTTTAAATTTCATTTTCCAATTAATTCTACTCATTTGACTAGACCGGAAGATTTGACACAATCATTCATAGTCTTAAATATCATAACAGAAACAGTAGGCCTACTGTCGTCTGTGCCCTTTATTAATGTCTGTATTGAAATTTGATATGTGTTCACCGACAGATAATTTCTTTTTTAATTTATACTTTTGCTTCAATATGTTAAATTTAATAACACATGATTTTATTGATTAAAGAACTAAACCACTTCGATTAGTGTCTAGAGGGACGAAGCCATGCTCGGTTCCAGGTTAATGTGGTTGTACTAGGATTGTACTATGGTACTTGATATTTCGAGTAACCAAAACTAATTTTAGTTCTATTTTGGCCTCCAATGTGTCGACACAGAATCAATTATATCTCAACGTTGGCTTTATCTATAAAAGTAAAACTTTGAACATAAACAAATTGTTATTTCACAAAACACATCAACACAAATCTTCTAATGAATGCGAAAATTGAGGTGATGCATTGCAGTTATGCATTATGCATGTCACTTGCCATAAAAGACAAATCTGACACTGAGAGATTCAGAAAAGGACGAACACACCAGACATAATGTTTTCATATATATATATATATATACATATATATATATATATATATATGGATATACATGTGTGGTGTGTGTATATATATATATACACACACACATGTATATCAAAAAAATATTAGCAAAACCGTAAAGCCTAGCTTATTTCGCCTACGACGCGATAAAACTGACGGCGACTAACGGCAACTGACAGCTTATGTCGCTAAGACTTAATTTATCAACGACTGGACGCAATCACGAGCAACCAGATCATAGTCTTAAGCGCGCCCATATCGCCCCGCGTCAGTTCAAGAATAGGAGCCACAACTGATCACATGACTGACACGTGATAACCTTCAAAATGGCCTCCTTCCACTTGTCCGCCATGGTTGTTACCACCCCCTGGGTACCACGTGACTAAATAACCGAATCCTATTGGCTACGTCAGCGAGGCTCCGCCTCAAGCCAGTCGAAGGTGCGCTCATGTCGCTTGCAACTAGGGACCACTAGTAGTTTACAGTCGTAGGAGTAGAACATGTCGTAAGAGCGCCCAGGTCGCCCAAGTAGTCATGACTGTTAAGTTCCACTTGATCGTAAACCAGTCACCGACTTCGAGTCGCCGTCAGTTTTATCGCGTCGTAGGGCGACATAAGCTAGGCTTAAAGCTGCACTACTTTGTTTCACGATAAACAATGAAAAGATATGCCGACACAAACTGATTTCAACACTGGTTTAATAACATTAATAGAACACAATTTTTATGGGAAACAATCACTGGTTTATTCTAAAAGCACGACGTTTCGACAAGTATCCTCTTATCGTTATCATTGTGCTTGATAACGATAAGAGGATACTTGTCGAAACGTCGTGCTTTTAGAATAAACCAGTGATTGTTTCCCATAAAAATTGTGTTCTATTAATGTGTTTTCCAATCGCTAAATGCCACTTAAAGATTATGGTTTAATAACACTTTAACAATTTAAAGTACTTTTTGCCAGTCTTGGGACTCTTCATAAATAATGTCATTGCATAGAGATGGAGACTCTAGTATAGGCCTATTTATAATTTACAAAGTAACACTGTGGTTTTAATTGGCTATATTTACCATTGTCTATGGTTACATAACATAGTATATAGATAACTAACAGAAAACGTGTACACGCGTGTGTTAATCTGTTGTATATGGGTACAATTTAGGAACAATGAGTGGGAGATAATCCTGGGATAGATTTAAGAAAATTAATGAAGTTAATAGCCAATTGTTACTTATTGGCTATTAAGTCGAGGAACGTAATTTTTAATAAAATGGTTTTCCATTAATTTCCTTTTCGTGATGTCATCGACTTTCATTTTATAAAAAGGAAAAATTTGGAATTTTTATTGTAGGTGTTGTGCAAATCTAAAGATATGTCTATTTACAAATAAGGGTCCATATTCAATATTACAATCCCGTCTATGGTTTTGTACTCTATCCAGTAGATGTTTGCCTGTCTCGCCGATGTAAACGGCATATATGATGCAAGTCCAGACATATATGAGATTTTTTGTGTCCCAATTTATATTGTCGTTGACACTAAAAATAAAGTTATGAAAATTATATGTTATTTGGCGTAATATGATCGCAACATTTACGTCGAAGATCCGGCAGTTAAGTACATAAAAACCGGTCCTTGTGATAGATGAATTGAATTTTGCTTTGGTTAGAAGGCTGACTTTGTGATTTAATCAATTGAGCATTATTAAATTTTGTTCTGGGGTTGTCGTTTAATGCCAGGTGTGTCCTGCGCTCGTGCATTGTTTTAAAGAAGTTGAGATGTTGGGGTTGTGATCAGCGACAAAGGTAATGCTATTACCCGAACTGTCTTTTGCTATAGTAGCCCTCAATGTTTGGATATCAATTGCCAAAGCCGTATTTATCCCAACTTCTATTACCTATAATATATAAAGATTTTTGTTTTTCAAACATAATTATGTGAAATGCACATTGCTGACGGTAATACGAGGACTGGCTGAAAACGATCGATCAATTGGGTTGAAACAAACTATTGCCACCAACAAACACAATTATAGAATGAGTCTTAGATATAAGAACTGCAACTGTAGGGTTATTGATATCTTCGTACCAGATCATGTTATGAGCCTACCACTGAAATCGCCAGCAATGGACGATACTGAATATAGGACAGTCATCAAGTACCTGCAACAGAAAGGATTAGCCCCATACATAGATACATGCCCATATGGTCTCCTCTTTAGCGGATGATGGCCCTTCCTTTTCCACAGTAAAAAAGTGGGTTATGGAATTTAAGCGTGACAGAGAGTCTTGGCAATGACCAGGGTCCTGGAAGGACATTACCCGGGTGGTGGATAATCGACGACTGGCCACTCGACATATTGCCCGTGTTGTGGACATCTCTCTTTGGATGGTTGAGCGCAATATCGACAACGAGTTAGGAATGACAAAAGTTTCTAGAAGATCGTACCAAAGCTCTCTCCTCGCGAAAAAAATCAAAGAAATTGAAAAAATAAAACGGGAGAAAAATGCTTAAACCGATGAGAAAAATGAAAATGTACCCTAGTTAGGGAGGGCCCTAAAGGCAGACAAAAAGGGCCCCACGTCTGACAAAAGGGCCCCTCTGGCCAAGGGAAAGGCCCCTGAGTCCGAGTCAATCGTTTTCTATACACTGTTACTGTCGACTCCACTACTGAATGAGAATGCAGTCATCGCATTGCGGTTAATATCGACATTTCACAACATATATACGACATTGCGTATTTATTTGTCGATCATGGTTATAGGCGGGTCAAACGACGGTTAAATGATGTAGTACGTAAAACAAATTGCAACAAATGTTTTTTTGTTTTCTATTGACTCATTATAATGTCCTAAGTAAGGAAAAGAAAGTTTACCAAAATCGGAGTCCAAATAAGGACAGGGGGCGTGGCCAAATCCAAGATGGCGGCTGTCGATCAAAAATTGCAAATATCTCTAAAACTATTGGATTTAGATACCATAAATATATTGCGGACAGATAGGAAGTCGGTACCAGCGAGTTAAAAAAATGGCAACGTTATGTCTCTACGACGTCATGACGTTACTGTGACGTCAAAACGGCATATAAGACGTCGCATTTCTTCCATAAGTAGTCCATTTATGCATGTTAGCACTAGAAACGAATTCTGATTCAGAAAAGAGGATTTGCCCATTATGGGTTGATAAACAAGAACAATGTGTTACAATAACGTAGAAGGAAGCTAAAAGTATATAAATGTGGCTGCATTGTCGAAAGGTGATACTATTACAGTAGCCGCAGGAACACAGATTCATTTTAATTGTTGACAAAAATAGCCTACGTCAATAAAAAGAAATGAAATGAAATGGGGTGATACATACGTCCTACTGTTCTGTTCCAACTGGGCTCCATCAGTAGGCTATGAGGGGAATTTTGCCCTGCAGTGGCGCAAAAGCACTCTTATATCGAATTCCAACTGCAAAGGGTTCTTTTACTGGAGAAGTGCATTAAAGGTTGAATGGGCGGGGCTGACCAATTTTCATATTTGGGCCACTCAGAAGTAGGCTAATCCCCAAAATCCATTGGTAAGATTAGAATCGGATTCTGTCAGTTCAACTTTTTTGGAAAAATTGGTAAATTTAAAACTATAAGTCACCTGCCCAGGCCTTAGTGCCGTGGAGCCCTGACCCGTTCTCGTTCCGTTTGATGATATCGTCAACGTCAGGGTATCTAATCCAGCATCTGACTATGGTTCTGTAGGAAAGTTTGAGTAGGGAGATTTTGTTTAGTGGG